GGGGGGGGGGGGGAGAGGGAGGGAGAGGGGGGAAGAGGGAAGGAGAGATTACAAGGGCAGAATTCAAAGCACAGAGTCCAGAGCAGCACCTTCAGGCGCCCACACAGCAAGGGCGCACCTGGCCCCGCAGCCATTCCGGACACCACGTATGTCCACGTGGCCGCAAGTTTTTTGGGGGGGGGCCAACAAGAGGAAAGCTGCTCATGCGAAACTGACCTGAATGTACCTTCCCACGGGACAAAACATGTGCAGCTTTACTCTCTCTCTCTCACCCCCCACACCCACACTCGCATATTCGCACACGCATAGGCTTACCCAGCCATCCTTCTCATCAAGGTCGCCTCCGCCGCCGCATTCGCCGCCACCCGCCGCTCAAACTCCAAGCTGCCCTCCGCCGCCGCGCGAGCCGCTGCGTCCGCCACCGCAGCAGCGGTGGCAGCGGCGGCTGCGGCTGCGGCGGGACCGGAAGCCGTCGCTGTGGCCGCTACCGGTGGCGATCGCAATGGCTTCGAAGCCGCCGCGGCCGCCGTCACTGTCGCCGTCGCCGCCGCCGCTGCGTTAGCAGCAGTGCCGGAAGCTGCCCCCGGCAATGCTGCTGCCGCCGTTCTCTGCCGCTGCGCAGAGAGACCGCGGTACGACGGCGGCGACGGCCAGGGCGGCGGGGACGACGACGACGATGATGACGGCGGCGACGCGGTCCGCAGGCGAGCAAATGGCAGAGCGCCGTCGGCAGAGTTGGCTGCAGCAGTGTGGGCGCCACGAGCGGGAACCGTGGGCGACGTGCCGCCGCCGCCGGTATACCCTGACCCACGAGCCGTCTCAGCCCCGCTGCCGCCGCCGCTACTGCCGGTGTGCGGACTGGCTGCGGACGCCGACGGACTGTTAGTAGTAGCTGCAGCGGCAGCGGCAGCGGTAGCTGCTGCTGCTGCTGCCGTGGTGGTCTCCTCTGGAAGCGGGGACAGCGCCGCGGCGAGGAGGCGGTTGATGGTGTGTGGCGATGCCAGCATCATGACGGGTCGCAGCACGCAAGACGAGAGCAGCTCTCGAAGCAAGGGACGCAGTCGGCCACACAGCATGTCATCATCCGGCCACAACACACCCACCTGCACGTGAAAGGGGAGGGAGGGAGGGAGGGAGGGTGTAGGAGGGCATGAGGACCTCTTTTTAAGAGGTTGGCCGTGGCGAGATAGTGCATATATCACAGGAGATCGGCGGGTAATTGCTTAGGTGGTGTGAGGGTGAGGTCTTCATGGTGAGAGGTCAGGGCGGTGAGGTAATATTGCGGATGCGGCACAAACACCCTTTCGACCCCCCCTCCCTAACCACCCACCCTACATCCTCCGTCACCCCTTCCCCCCGCCGCCGCCGCCGCCGCCCCCCAACCACCATCAGCAACCCACCAGAGCATCCGCAATGTCCCGCAGGGCGCGGTAGTGTCCGTCAGGTTCCTCAAACGCGGGGTGCAGTCCCCCGCACACACGTAGAGCCCCCTGCAGCAGCCGCTCGCGGGCACCAGCCACCACAGCCGCAGTAGCAGCAGCAGTGCTGGCATCAGCGGCTGTAGTACCAGCAGTAGCAGTAGCAGTAGCACCCGCGGGGGTCGCTGCAACCGATTCCGAGTTCCCGTCACACCCGGCCCTACCCGTGCCATCAGCCCCCGCTGGGCCCTGCTGCTGGTGCTGCTGCTGTTGGGAGTGATGGTAGTGGCGGTGGTACAGGGCACCGGTCGAGCTCATTCCGCCTTCCCCTGCTGCTGTTGTTGGCGATGATGATGATGATGATGCGGAGTTTGCGGCCTGCTGTGACTGCGGTGACTGCTGCTGGTGGTGGTGATGCTGTTGCTGTTGTTGTTGTTGATGATGGCGGTGCGAGTGGTGGTGGTGGTGGTGGTGGTTTGGCCCTGCCGGCCCCCCGCCCGCCGTCCCCGTGCCAATGGCCACCAGGTCCTGTGCCGCATGTCTCAGCGCCCTGGCCTCCAGCTGCTGCTCTCCCCCCAGGTGCTCCAGGGCGGACCGGTAGAGCTCCAGGGAGGCGATCAGGGCCTCACACACATCCCTGCGAGCCAGATCCCAGAGGAGAGGAGTGGAGTGTGGAGTGGCGTGGCGTGGAGTGGGGAGGAGCAACACGCCAGTCGGGCAGGGGATGGGCGAGCAGAGCAACAGGATCACGAAGGGAGACGGGGGAGAAGGGGGAGGGGTAAAAGATGTACCACGGATGAGTGAAGCAGATACCAGATATAGACGGATACTCCAGGGAGAAGGGGGAGAAGGGGAAGGAGTACGAGTAAGCGCAACAGTGTTTTATCAGCTGCCAGTACACAAACGCGCGAGGAGGTAGGAGCACGCGCGCGCGCACATCAACAAAACCTCATCTAGCTTCAACTTCATCCCCTTCTCCTCCCTTGGATGTCGGCAGTTGGCGCTTCGACTTTTACACACGTAATTCCCGCCCTTCTCCCCTTCCCTCCCTCCCTCCCTCCCTCCCCCTCCCCCCCCAATCATCCTCGCCTGACCAGCACTCCCGCAACATCCAGCCGCCTCGCCCGCACCGCCAGTCGGCCAAACGCCGCAAACAGCAGCCGCCGCACCTCCGCAGGGAACTCCCGGTCAGGACTCAGCAAGGCCCACCAGGTGTCGTATACCCACGTCTGGACGATGGCACCACACAGCTTCTCCCACGCAAATTCCACCACCTTGCTGCCCACCTGCAACCGCCGGGTGTTGGGGTGGGGTGAGGTCGGGTGAGGTGAGATGGGTGGGTTGTGTGTGTGTGTGGGGGGGGGGATATGCGATGAGCAGGGGCAACAAAGGGGGAAATCACGTGTGGTAGAAGCCAGGGAGACAGCGGCGACTGGGAGGGAGAAAGGGACGAGGGAAATAGTCAAGTGGAAAGATGACAACCTCCCAGGAGCCCAGCCCAAGGACACATCCCATTAGCTAACTCCCGTGCTTCCGTTTTCCCTCGAGCCTCATCCCGCACCCCAAACCTCCCTCCGCACCCCGCCAATCGTCCCGCGTCAAGAAGCGCAACCGCCACCCAGAGGAGCAACTCAAACAGCACCTGCACTCGCCAAGCGTCTGGATCGGGCCTACTGGCAGCTCTAGTGCCACCGCCACCGCCGCCGACCCCAGCCCCGCCTCCGCCTCCTCCTCCCGACGGCAGCGGTACCCGCGGCAAGCTCAGTGACATAGAGCCTTTGACGCGGGACCCACCGCCGCTACTGCTGCCGCCGCCGCCGCCGCCGTCAGCGCTCCAGGGCGCGCTGGGCTGCGACCCGTGGGTCACATCCCGCGCGCCCTTAACGCATCCCAGGCGCTCCCGAAGGATCTGGGCGTTCCTAGAAGTCGTGGAAGAGGGAGGTTGACGTTGCGTCTGTCCCTGCTGGGCCTGTGGTTGCTGTCCCGTCAGGCGCTGCTGCGGGCAAGGGAATTCCACCTGGAAACCAGGTCCGACGGCCTCCCCCGCGGCTTCTACCTCGCGGAGCTGGTAGCGAGGACGAGCCTGGAGCTGATGTTCATCATGATGGCGAGGAGCTGTGTGGGGCTGGCTGCCGTTGCTGCTGCTACTGCTGCCGCGGATTATCAATGGGCCCTGAACCCTGGCACCCTTGCGCCACAAGAGGGCGCCGTCACCAAGGAATACACAGTCCAATGTGTAATCTAGCAGGAGCCAGAGGCCTGCAGCAAAGGACGCTGCGCTTTGCGCCAGGTCGTGCGGCGGGGAATGGTGCGCGCGCGCGCGATGGGCGCAGGCTGGACCAAGAGCGCGCAGGTGCCATTGCGCCGCTGCAACCAGCACGATTGCGAGCGGTATGCTCCCAAAGATGGACTTGCATGAACCTGCGTGTGTGGGGTCGGGGAAAGGCAGCTGTGGATGAACCCTGGTGTGAGGCTTCAGCAAGTCAAGGATGTCCAAGCACCTGACAAACAAAAACCTGACAGACAAAAAGTTAAGGATAGGCTTTTATGCAGGTTCCTCAGGTCCGCAATCCAAGCATGGCCACGCGTAACCAAGCAAACTGGTTTCAAGCAAGCCATGTGACGGATGAGGCTGTGCTCTGTTTAAGCCTTGTAAAATTAATACCTGGAAACAGCCACCAACGACCAGTCAGCGTTGACACTTACATAAAAGGCACGCCGCAAGCCAAACAGCCAGCACCAGCTTAACAGCTTGTTTGCATGCCTCACGTGCGACGTAGGAGGTGGGCAGCGGGGACCTTAAGGTAGCATCCGAGGGCTTCATGACTCGACAAGGTCTATTCCTCCCCCGCAGCTGCCATGCCTATTAGATCCGGAAAAAGCAGTAGCGTAAATCACTCTTTCCTTTGGTCTATGGATTTAGTGTTGTTGCACCTAGAACCCCTTCGTGTAATGTCGGAGCCGTGCATTCGCGCCGCTTCGACGAGCGACAGGCAAGGGATGCCCTCTCGAGAAATATCATAAAAGGAAATATGTCTAACACTACATGGCCGTCAGACCACCATGCACATGCAGAACGTAAAGATGTTCCCTCTCCAAAAGCCTTGTGGATCTGGGATGCTGCAAATCACCGCCGCTGCACTAACTTTGATGTCCTTAAGAATCTTGCTCATCCATGTGAAAAGTTTTGATTTATTTTTGAAGGCGAGCAAAATCCGCAAAACAGTTTAGGAAATGGGACGCGATGCACTCCGAAGATACAAAGCTTACGTAATGCCGGACAATCTGCAATGCCGCGTCGAAAATGCACAGGATTTGAGCCATACAAACCAGGAATTGAGCAAGTCATGCTACCTACTCTTCGTTACATTAAATCTACTGACCCGCTAGCCTTGGCCAACTTTAATATTTACACGGCTTAGGTGCAATTGTCCCCAGGGTAGTCAGGCCGCAAGCTGCACAGCGTGACAGGCAGAGAGACACACACACACACACACACACACGCACACACACGCACACACACACACACACACACGCACACGCGCACACACATACATACATGCATGCAAGCGTGCAAAGACGTCATTCATTCCCCGAAGTATACGAAACCTAGTAGGGAGGGTCAGGCAAGTTGAGGACACCATCACCTGTACTGCCCCTACCTACAACCCTCCTTGGACGGGAAGGGGCGGGAACTACCCCCCCCTCGGGGCCATGTCTGTGTATGTGTGTATGTATGTGTACACGTGTGCGTGTGTTGTGTTTCCATGTGGCTGCCGCCCGACCCGCCCGCGCGGTGAGCGCCAAACCATTACTTGCGCTACATCACTGAGGCCCATGGCAGGACACGGTACGACACGTACGACACGGTACGACAACACAAAAATAAAACTCTCAAAGCTCTATAAACTTCTTCCATCTCCTCTTTATCTTCCAAATTCTTGGTCAACCCGTTCCGGACAAACCGATTTCATTTTTCATGTAAAATCCATAACTTCTCTCCGCCACCATCTAAGCCCCGTATCCTCCTCTGGGCTCTGAAGTTCGATGCAAACGAGCAACGCCCCACACAGCCACACAGCCTCCCTGGACGAAACCCGGAGTAGTGCCGAACCACCTACGACCTTATCCCCCTCACATTGCTCCCTGACACACGAGTACGGCATACCCCATGAGTCTCCCAACCCACATCCTAAACCCAAGGGAGGCGCTTCAGCCCCTCTGGCTCCCACCCCCACTTCCACCCCACTTCCAGCACAACACTTCCTTGGCCAGTTACAAACCCCTCCCGCAGCTAACCACACTCGATCCACCACTAGATCCAGCAGCACAGCGGGAAAGAGCACTAGGGCTGGACGTTCTGGACGCTCTTCCATGCCTCCAAACTCAGCCGCTTCACCATCGCCTTGATCTGCTGACCAGGACCCAGCTCGTACAGCGCCAGGGGCAGAGACGAAGCAGCCGGTAGAGACGAAGCCGCCAGCAGCGCCGCCAGGGTGGCCTCCCATTGTACGGGCTCCACCAGCTGGCGGCCCAGCAGTGCGGGGATGTCCCGTGGGTCGGTGGGGAAGGGGCGGGCGATGACGTTGGAGAAGACGGGGATGCGGGGGGCGCGGAAGGTGACCTGGGCCAGTGCCTGTGTGGGTGGGGGAGGAGGGGAGGAGGCGGGGGTTGGGAGCGCGACGGAGAGGAGGAGGAGGGCGAGGAGGAGGGGAGGGGAGAGGGGAAGGAAAAGGGGGGGTTCAGTGTGTTTTTAAAAATAATGTGAGCGGGAAAAAAGGGGGGAAAGGGTCTTCATGTTCGCTGTGCGAGCTGCTTTCCTCCTTTTTTTAGTTACCCGTTTTAATGTCCCGCTGGGTTCACTAGCTCCCGCCGCCGCCGTCAAGTCCATTTTTCCATTTTGCTAACCCCCAACCTCCACCTTCCGTTGGCACTCTCGTGGGTTTCTCGGCCCCGCACCCTCCCTGGACCCCCGGTCTATGTGAAGGCCCCCCACCCCCGTGCAGCAGTCATCCCTCCAGCTCATAAGTTTCACTTGGATGGCTGGAACGGCATTCCTTGGAGCAGTAATAAAGAAATTATTATTTATGTTCTATTTTTATAAATGCGAACATTGTTGTTGTTGTTAACTGTTAACACCCTCCATGTACTCCCCCCAGCGACCTTCATCAATTGCTCTCGGGCGGGTTCCATCAGGGAGGTGTGGAAGGCGCCACTGACCTGTTGTACGGCAATACACAAAAGACCACATGACGGTAGGTAGGGGGGAGCTAGGTAGGTAGGTAGGGAGGGAGGGACATAGAGAGGGAAGAAAGCGTGTGCGTGTATGTATTATGTGTGCGGGGAGTGGAAGGGGTTGGCGTGAGGGAAAAACCTGTCGGGAGGGAAAAATGAGTGGCCGGGGCTGGAACGAGGACAGATTAAGCCAGGAACGGAAGGAGAGTACGACAGGTACGGCAGTACGGCGCTGCCACAAGGGGTATAGCGCACGTGGAAGACAGTAAAAGTGGTTCAACAAAAGGTTCAACAGTACAAAGATGTGCACCGACGACCTACGGAGTTTGATGTATGTCTTTATGTATGTGTGTGCAATTGAGATCCGTGTCGTTGTCCGCCGACGCCATTTATGGCTGTCAATGCCTGCGAGCCTGCGCTCTCACCTCGACCTGTCGTCGTACACATTGTTATGTACGACACAGTCATACATATATATGACTGTGTATAGTCCACACATTGTTATGTGGACTATAATATAGTCGACAATCTCTGTACTGTTAATGTGTAATGTTTCATTGGTGGAACAGTACACATTAACACATCACAGCAACTACCCTAGCAGCATCATGTACTTGCATTTGATAGCCCGGCATCCTCTTCGGGGTTCGACACGTCGGTATGTTTATCTGCTTACTCGTTGAGCTCCCGGGCCCCGATACCGACACCCACCCCCCACCCTCCCATCCCCACCAGCAGCATCTGTGTTTTCAGCGCCCCCGCCTCTCGGGCCCTATCCCCCAGGCGCTCCAGGAGGTCCGTGTGGCCGCTTACAACCCGGCCCTGAGGGGGGGGGGGATCCTCA